TTAGTGAATAGAACAGAGACAGCGAAACAAGGTGAACCGGTCAATTTGGTCACAACTGTCGTCATTGCGGGTCGTGCCTTATGGAATCGTCAACGTTGTCGTCATCATTACGCACACCACACAGAATCGTCAACACTGCCGTCCTCGTTGCTTACACCTCACAGAATCGTCAACACTGCCATCATCGTTGCTTACACCTCACAAAATTGTCAACACTGCCGTCATCGTTGCTCACACCTCACAAAATCGTCAACACTGCCGTCATCGTTGCTTACACCTCACAGAATCGTCAACACTGCCGTCATCGTTGCTTACACTTCACAAAATCGTCAACACTGCCGTCATCGTTGCTTACACCTCACAGAATCGTCAACACTATCGTTATCGTTGCTTACCTGGAATATCACAGGCGTCCCCTCCGTAGTCACAGTCGCAGTAGCACTGTGGACTCTTGTTGTTCAAGCAAGCACCATTAACACACTCAGGATTGCAGTTATCTGTACAGAGAGAAGGAGACAAACGGTTACTTCTTCAATTTCCTCCCTTTTTTCGCCGGTACTTCTGAAGGTAATGTTAAAGGTAAGCTACTTTTGGATGTAAGTACCCTATTTTTCCTAGTTTTACTTGCCTGCCCCCCTCACTGTCCGAGGCATCAGCGTTAATTAGTAACACACATACCCAGTCACTCTAACCGTGAGCTGTCTTCCTTTCCCACATCTTTCCTCTCTTCTCTCTCTATCCACATCTACCCTTTCTCCCCCCCCCCCACTATCGGAAGCATCAGCAGCATCAGCAGCAGCATCAGCAGCAGCATCAGCAGCATCATCAGCAGCATCATCAGCAGCATCAGCAGCATCATCAGCAGCATCAGCAGCAGCATCAGCAGCATCAGCAGCAGCAGCAGCAGCAGCAGCAGCATCATCATCAGCAGCATCAGCAGCAGCATCAGCAGCATCAGCAGCATCAGCAGCAGCATCAGCAGCAGTAGTAGTAGCAGCAGCAGCAGCATCAGCAGCATCAGCAGCAGTAGTAGCAGCAGCAGCAGCAGCAGCAGCATCAGTAACACACTCACCCCGGCACTCTAACCGTGCACTATCCTCGTCCATGCGGTTGATACAGTCCTGCACTCCGTCACACATCGAGGAGATGTTGAAGAGTCGTAGCTGGTCGGACGTCGTCTCCACCTGACAGGCAAACAGTCCTAGCTCCAGATCCACTATAAACGTGTCCTCGTTAGATACGTTAGCTCCTACGGTCGCCACCTAAAATATATAGCGATAGACACGCGTATACTCAACATGCTAAAACACTAAGGTTAGAGAATAAAAGTAAGGTTACATATGGGAAAGAGACATAAATAGATACATATCAAGAGTACATAATAGAGATCTCTATAAGATAGAGATCTCATAAGCTCTATTATGTACTCTTGATACATATGCGTTTATTCAACATGCTAAAACACAAACGCTACATATGGGAGATATATATAGATAGATATATACGCATTTATTCAACGTGTTAAAAACACAAACAGAAGACATAAAAGTACCAAAATGAACGCGCTACTTGAAATGTATATAGACACATATACGCGTTTATCCAACGTATTACAACGTAAACAGAACGCATAAAGGTACAAAAAAAACATTACATACGAGAGAAAGAAATAGAAGGTCATGTTTACTTAGCGCCTTAAAATATAAACCATAAATTAATCTACAAAGTAGACGTGCTACTTGCAATATACATAGATATGTTATATATGCGTTTATTAAGCGCATTTAAATAGAAACAACACATCTATTCACGAATTGAAAGATTATCAGTTATTAACGAGATGAATTATCGAAGGGTTTATATTTGTATTTTGTGTTAATTATTATATAGAAGACAACAAAGGGAAAGGTGCGGGGTAACGTTGATATACCGCGCGTTATGTGTATACGGAGAGATAGAGAGAGGGGCCGCAAGCGCCAGGGAGAGAGAGAGAGAGAGAGNCTCTCTCTCTCTCTCTCTCTCTCTCTCTCTCTCTCTCTCTCTCTCTCTCTCTCTCTCTCTTTCTCTCTCTCTCTCTCTCTTTCTCTCTCTCTGCGTTACATTTCTCTTCATCAGCGCATCCACCTGGTCGTTTGACCGCAGCAGCATGAGTGGTGACAGGTGGGCCGACATTCCTTCGTAAGCGTGGTGACGTCACTCTAGCTTTGTTTTACGCTCGAGCAAGAACGTTGATCCCAGCATCCTGCGGTCGATAGCCGTTTATCGTGATTACACTTGCGGACGCTGGGAATGGGGATCACCAAACCTTGTCGCCGGATCGGGACCCTAACCCCCAGCGACTTCTCACCTGATGGTTATACTATTCAATCTACTTAGTCACCTGTCGCCACCGCCACGCGCGTGCTTATTACAGAGTTAGATATCTCTTATTTGGATATAACCATCGCTGGGGCACGTCGGCAGGGGCGCTGGTGTGTGGTTCCCGGCCACCAACGCTGCAACGCCCGTCGCCACGGAACCCAGCAGACGTGTAGGGACAGCCTAAAATCTCTAGTGGGTGGACACGTGGGTATTGGAAAGCGGCGTGTGGGGCGTCTATGGATGGATGGACACGTGGGCATTGGAAAGCGACGTGTGGGGGAGGTCTTGGAGAGCCGGTGGACGTAGACAGGCGGAGGATATCTTGTGAAGGGTAACCTCGGAGGTAAACGGGAGGTTCTTAGTGGCGGTGATTTGGCCAGGTTGTTACACGCCCCATGTGTATAGAACAGAGAGAGAGCGCGCTCTCTCTCTCTCTCCTTCTGTCCGTTTTGTCTTTTCCGTCTGTCTGTCTGCCTCTCTCTCGCTCTCTGTTTGTTTGTCTCTACCCCCTCTCTCTCTGTCCCTCTCATTGTTTGTCTGTCTCTCTCGCGCGCGCTCTCTCTCTCTCTCTCTCTCTCTCTCTCTCTCTCTCTCTCTCTCTCT